AATCGGAATGGCTTCTGAAAAACTAACAAGCCATGACACAAAGTTGGGCACAGTGGAAAAGATACTGGATTGAGAGTTTTAAAAAAAAGTATTTAGACTTATTTCTACCATTACTAATGTGGTATTATCTTGGGCAAATCCCTCAGGAACTGATACTAGGATGAACTGCAATAGGATATTGGCCTAAGTGGCTCCAAAATAGTCATTACCGAGTCAAACTCTCTTTCTTTCTCTCTCATAGACACACACACACACACACACACACACACACACACAGTTTATTTTCAGTTATTAAATTTTGTTAATTAAGTTGTAACTTGCAATAATAGCTAACACTGACTTCTGGATGCAAGACTCTCTCCTGCATGCTTTACCTACATTATCTTATTTAATCTTCAAAAACTATCATGAAGCAGGAAATAATACTATACCCATTTAACAGATGAGGAAGTGGAGTTGCCAAGAAGTTAAGCAGAACCTGGATATAAAAACAGCCAGATTCCAGAAGTCACCCTTGATGCCTTTGCCAGACTGTCACTGCCAGGCTGAGACCTGCTTGGGATAGCACAGGTTCCCAGGACAGGTGGGATGAGTCCAGCAAACCAAAAGCCTAGGCATGACACCTACTCTGGCAATCTTATCACAGGGAAACATTTCTACTTACTGCTTTGAAACAAAGCAGTTTCAAAATGGAACCAAGAGAGGCAACTATGGAATACCTGCACTTAATATTGCTAGCTTTTCCAGGAAATGAGATTTTTTTGACTCCTATGTGCAGTCTGATCTGACATTTATTAATTCACTGAACAAATACTTATTGAGCACCATGAGGTGAAAACATTAAAATAAAACAGGCCTGAGGACTTAGCTTTCTCCTAATTCTCTTTTTTAACCCACACCCCAGCAGTGGCAGTATTTCTCCTCACACATTTCCCTCAGTGCTGGAGACAAGATAGCTCTCATCTCATTTAATCATCAAATATTTCATCAAGCATGAAGATAGTACACAAAATAGTGTTTATGCAAAAATCTTAGAAAGGAATAGGAAAGAGCAGGGTCAAAGGCAAAATACCTAATGCTGTTGCAAATTCCATTAAGAACAAATTATTAATTAAACTGGATATATTTGCTATACACAGCTCTTCTCATTTAGAAACCTATGTCAATCTATTTACTACTTGTTCAGATTATCTGGAATCTTCCCCTAAATGGAGACCTTTTAGGAGCACACATTTCTTGAGAGTTTGTGATCTTTGCTCTCCTTGCTCCCCTTATCCTAAGGAATGGGTTTTCTCCTTCCTCCTTAAATCCCTCTACCTATGGCCCATCACAACCTTCTGCCTGCTCTAAAGAAGGGCATTTCCACTATTCCTTATTTTTAAAATATCTTCACTCTTTCTCATCACTGGCTCCTTATACTATGTACGTACAACTCCCTGTTTAAAAAAAGAAGAAAAACCTTCCCAACTCCAACCTTGAGATACTTCAATATGTCCCTTGTTCTTTCTTTCCCTATAGTCACAAAGTGTTCAGTAGTACCTTCCTTTTCCTTATTTCTAGAAGGCCAATGGCTATCTCCAAGCCTTTCCTCCTCACTCCTCATCACCCTACCCATGGCATCATGGACCCTGCTGACCACTCACCATGAGTCTTTCCTCCCTTGGCCTCTCCATCTTCCCTTTCCCAACCCTCATTCTCACTCTCTGTCTACTCCTTCCTGCACTCATTCACGGCAAGCAAGACAGACAAGGTCTCTGAGCACAGTTCACAGCCTAGTGGGGATGCACAATAGACAAGTAAAAATTAAACTAATGGGCAATTTCTTCTTTTTTGCAGTATCAGGGTTTGCACTCAGGGCCTACACCTTGAGCTACTCCATTAGCCCTTTTTTGTGATGGGTTTTTTCAAGATAGGGTCTCGCGAATTATGTTGCCCAGGCTGGCTTCGAACCTCGATCCTCCTGATCTCTGCCTCCTGGGTGGCTAGGATTACAGGTGTAAGCCACTGGAGCCCACCTTAATGAGGAAATTTCAGTTTTGAAAAAAATACTCCTGACCTCTGCCTATAGGTTCCTGGCACTGAAATAGAGTTGTACAGTGGGAAAAAAAAAATCAGAGTCTCTGCATCTCTCTCTCACCCCAGATCTACTGGGTGAAACTGTGTTTCAGCAAGATCCCCAGGCCCCAAGTAACATAATTCCTATCTGATGCAGAGACCTTCAGAAGTGACCTCTCCTAAACCCATTTCCATTTGCACATTCCTACTGAATCCTGGAACTGTTTTTTGTTTTGTTTTGTTTTGGGATTTTTTTGGAGGCGAAAGGGAAGGCAGTACTAAGGTTTAAACTTGGGGCCTGGCTTGGCAAGTACTCTAACCATTTGAGCTACACCTCCAGCTTTGATCTAAGGATTCTTTTTTTTTTTTTCTAACATTTTACTCTTTCTTTTAATCTAAATACTAGTTCTTTATGGTTTTAAACTCATGGCTTGGGCTGGAGGTGAGGCTCAAGTGGTAGAGTGCCTTCCTAGAAAATGTGAAGCCCTGAGTTCAAATCCAAGTACTGTCAAAAAATATGTGAAGATTAAACTCATGGCTTTTTGTTTTTTGGGGGCAGTACTGGGGTTTGAACTCAGGGCCATGCACTTGTTATGCAGGCGCTCTACCACTTGAGCCATGCCTCCAGATCAGACCTGGGATTCTTATCTGTGATTCCCATTTCCTTTGCTGCAAAGCCAAACCTAAGTGCAGCCCATTCCCCAACTCACATTTATCTGGTCTCATTCCACCTTCCCTGTCACAGACAAAATAGGCCACCACTATTCTCAGTCAGATTGCTGAGATGTTTGAGCATAATCCCTTCCAGAAACCTGCCCCTTCCTTCAGAGTGAATTGCTCCCCTGTACTTCTCCTAGGGTGTGTGTGTGGGGTGGGGGTCTCAGATTTTCATACGCAGAGAGGCCACGCAGGTGACAGAGAAGAGAGAGGTGGTCACTGGTGTAAGTCCAGCAGAAGTAGGTATGAACCCAATGTTGTCACACTGGCAGTATTCAGCAGAAGAAAAGCAAGAAAACCAGACTTTTACAAGAAATCTCCTATATTAAAATGCTGACAATTAGTTTTTTTTTTTCATTTTTCTTTTATTATTCATATGTGCATTCAAGGCTTGGTTCATATTTCTCCCCCCTGCCCCCACCCCCTCCCTTATCACCCACTCCACCCCCTCCCGCTCCCCCCCCTCAATACCCAGCAGAAACTATTTTGCCCTTATTTCTAATTTTGTTGTAGAGAGAGTATAAGCAATAATAGGAAGGAACAAGGGTTTTGCTGGTTGAGATAAGGATAGCTATACAGGGCATTGACTCACATTGATTTCCTGTGCGTGGGTGTTACCTTCTAGGTTAATTCTTTTTGATCTAACCTTTTCTCTAGTTCCTGGTCCCCTTTTCCTATTGGCCTCAGTTGCTTTAAGGTATCTGCTTTAGTTTCTCTGCATTAAGGGCAACGAATGCTAGCTAGTTTTTTAGGTGTCTTACCTATCCTCACCCCTCCCTTGTGTGCTCTTGCTTTTATCATGTGCTCATAGTCCAATCCCCTTGTTGTGTTTGCCCTTGATCTAATGTCCCACATATGAGGGAGAACATACGATTTTTGGTCTTTTGGGCCAGGCTAACCTCACTTATTATCTTGGTCCCTCAAAGGACACTGCAATGCCTCATCATGTCAAACAATACCTTCTATAGACTTCTAGCTGCATTTATCAATCAGCCTACAACTTGGATGGGCCCTTAGTGGACAGTTGATGAACCTGATGGCCACCAACCTCAGTGCTTGAAGACCAGTCAAAACCATGAACTTCTAGGTGAAGAAGCAATCCCTCAGGTTCTAAGGATCACTAAGAGTCACTTCTAATAAACAGAAAGCAAGTGATAGTGTGCTACCACAAAGATTGGGTCACCAAAAGGTATTGTGATTTGCTCATTGCTCTTTCTCTCTGGGACTACTCATTCTGGGGAAGCGAGATGCCATGTTAAGAGGATATGCAAGCTACCCTATGAAAACACCAACAAAGACAAGGATTGAAGCCTCTGGCTATCAGCCATGTGAGTGAGCTTAGAGGTCAGCCCTAATCAAACCTTCAGATGACAGTAGTCCCAGCCAAAATCTTGATGGCAAATGAGGCAGGCTGATTACACCCTCCAGCTAAGCTGCTCCCAAATTTCTGATCCAGAAGAAAATGTTTTTTGTTACACAGTAGATAACTGTGGTATAGGTGGTATGCCTTTGGCAGATTATGAAAACCCATCAAGCCTAGGAAAAGCAAGGTGAAGCTGAGGAAAACAAATAGGTGTAAGTGACTGAAAGAGTAGATGGTGCCTTGATCGGTTAAGTGTTTAAAACTAGAGTTGAAATGTAAGTTCTATAAGCATGAGAATGTATGAAACACCATACAATGAAGACGGTATGAAAAAGAAAAGAACACCCAAAATTGTTAATAGCAACTTTATTGTTTCACTGGTGCAAAAAAACAACAAAAAATCGTAATTGTGATGCATTTCCCATTAAATTTACAATAATGGTTATACATAAATTATATAGATCACAAAATTTTCTATTTTATACTATTTTGAACCAAATTATTTTGATAAATATGTCCAGAGGACAGCAAAGGTTCTTAATGGATGGCTGAGTCCAAATATGCAAAATATAGCTTCTGCTTTTGACCATGATGCTTTCAAATTCTCACACATGCATTAATATATTCTAGTTTTGGGGAAAATATTACACATGGCCTTATCTTGCATTTAGGGAAAAGCCCGAGCTCAATTTCACATACAGTATTCCTTTCCTCTAAATTAATCTCAATAGGACTAGAGAACAAAGCAACAGATACTTCTGGGTTAGTACTCCCTAATAATGAAGAAAATACACAATCAACAATGAAACAAAACAAACAAGGGAAGGCAAGCTTCATTAGCTGAGATAAGTGGGTTTTGTTTTTGTTTTTTACAGATCACAGGAATTTTAAATAGCAGATCAATCATGCTATTTGGGGAGATCAGACAAGACTTGAACTCTTACAAAGTAAATAACTTTATTAAGGTCCTGAAGGTGAGTGTCCGGAGGTGCTGGGTAAAACACATCACAGGTAAGAAACAGGAAACCTACCTCAGCATTTCTGAAAGGCACAATCTACGGAAAGGAGACCTAGTTAATAAACCCTTACTGGATGTACATGGAAAGTATAGTGAGCTGTCTTCTTTTAAAGGATGAGACCTTCATAGATTGGCCCCTCAGACTCTGGTGATTCCCGCCTCAAGCGCAAATGCTCCAGCGTGTTATGAAAATGTTTGTTAATCTGCTCTGTTTCTTCACTGGACTCAAGATTTGGGAGATCTTCTCGAATCTTTTGGATAAGCTGGTTCAAAACCTGAATTGTTACCTACAAAACAGTATGTAAAATGTCATGATCAAGTATGAATCACAAAAAATAAGGTAATTTAATAACACTCTTGAATTTGTGCTACTCTCATCAATTGCCTGAAGGATTATGAAAAAGGAGAGATGAGAACATGATTTTGGCTACAACTGTTGGCTATTCATTAAGAAAAATAATAAAGAATAAAAATAAAGAACCCAACTTAATAAAGCAGAGTAACATGAACCAGTTTAAGAACAAAATCAATTTTATTTAACTTATAAATCTTCACCAACACTGTGCTACTAAAAGGATAACACATTTAGGAACTATTTTAAATGAGTACACAATGACAAATTAGTCTACTATTTGGCAGTTTGTAAACTATTTTGTATTTTCAAATGGACAGTGTTTAGATGTGCATCTATGAAGACAGAAAAGGACTTTGGAAAATGAAAGAGCCAGTAGATGGACTGCAAACTCTGACTTTCACAGACAAAATAAAGTATCATAGCGACAGACTTATCTATGTATCAAATCTCCTGGGGCAAAAAAGGAAAACATTAGTTAACTAACAACACACTTCACTAGTGCACTTACCGCATCATTTTCCTTTTCATAAAAATATATATATCTGTTCAGAATTTCTATAAAAAGCTGCACTTGTAGAGAGGGGTCCATGCACTGATTTGCTATTTTTAGAGCTTTCTTTAGGCACTCCATTACCCTCTTGCCTCCATGAAGCTAAAAGTGAAAGGACAGAGAGATATTGAAGAGATTAAGGAACCACAAATGTCTCATTTCCATACAATGAAAGAAAGACACTACAGTGCTCTTTCATGCTTTAAAGGTAAACAAATTTAAATCCTCTTCATTCTTCTTTAAAAAAGAAAAAGTATACCCACTGGTATATGGTTCCAAGGAGACCCCCACTGAGGAAAAACCATAGATGCTCAGGATGCAGAGTTCAGTACCCTACTGCAAATGCTTGCTTCATGTTTCTCATACCACCAACTGACTTCTGCTAAAGACAGGCCACCTTTTGACAAATCTCAACCTTTTCACTCTATCACTTAAACTAAGCACTTTACATGCCTTTTTTGGCTTGAGGGAATTATTATAGTTTTTACCTTGGAGGTAGATTTTTCACAAAATTAAGGACAGGGAAACACTCAGATTACACAATGATTTAAATACAATGACACAGAACTTATTGAAAGCTTTTCAGCACCAACTGAGCTACAAATGGGTGTGTGGGCATTAAAAATTTTTGTCTTAAAATTTTTTGATTTATTTATTTATTTTAGTGGTAGTGGAGTTTGAGCTCAGGGCCTTGCTCTTGCTAAGCAGGCACTCTACAACTTGGGCCCTATTTTTATTCATTATTTTTCTTGACCACACTTTGCCAAAACTGCATATAATAAATCAACAGGTGAGCTTACGGTACAGCTCTATTTAAACTGAACAAAGAGTAGTATAAACTTGCTGTTACAACATTCTCAAAGGGGAGGCTTTCTCACATGAGGAGACTACTCCACAAATTACTGTCCATTCATTTCTTTTAATAAAACAAAGCAATTGTTTTTGTCAGATTTCTAGGGATCCCCAAATGTTTCACCTTCAGAGCACAAGGCCATGATAACAAATCCCTATTAACAATTCCATCTCCTGTAAGGCAGCTGGTGATGACCTTTACCTCTTCCCCATTTTTATCTGTGTTTCTGCCAGACCAGAAGAGATGTGCACAGGTGCTCACAGCTCGGCCCTGATCTGGTTTCTTCAGAAGTTTGGAAGCAGCAAGTGCACATTGAGTCCTCAAGGGTTCATGATTCTCTTCACTGAAGCACTTCATCCTCTCAAAAGTACCAATGATCAAGGTGATGGCAGCTAGCTGTGCTTTGGAATCACTGATTTCATCTTCATACAGAGAAAATGCCTGGTTGACACAAAGCAGAAAGAATTTTCAGGAACCAGCCATCCACTCCTATCAAATCCCCATCCTGTGAGAAAATTCCTGTCACTTCATATCAGAGAATGCTGCTCCCACTTGTGTAGAAGCACAAACACAGCTGAGATGGTAAAGAAGCAGAAAAATTGCAATAAAGAGACTAGTCTAAACTTTAACCCAGGGTTCCCAAACTGAACTGACAATGGAACCTTGTTTTATTTTCCCCGTGAAACACTTCACCATGGCCCATTTGGAAATTTTAAATTTCATCATCTCCCAGCAACCGAACAGTTTTGCTGCTCCTCACCAGGAAGAAGTTCCAAGATGGTAGGAAAGCAGTAGTTATACTCTCAGTTAAAAAAGAAGAGTAAAACCATGTGCACTGCCACAATAACTACAAACAAGTGACTGAACTCAGTAAAACTGACTAGACAACCCAGGAACCCAGGAAGGAGAGCACATCTTCACCTGGGACATAAATTCATATGCAACAGTTTCATGATTTTCAAAACCAATTTCTCCAGCAGCTAGTGCTCCTTGAAGAAAGAGTCTTAGGGGTAATTCTGCCAGCTCTGCTTTGATCAAAGCACTGATAGTCTGGTGAGCAAATGAAAAAATCTTCTGGCATTTCTTTTCCCATTTGTCATCCTAAAACAAGAAACATTTTAAATTACCTTAAGCTCAAGACTAACTAGGTCAAGAATATTATCTTACTTAAAACTTCTAATAGAACCAAAGAGCAAAAGCAGTGAAGTACAGCTCACAGTTTTCCTGTTATTTTCCTCCTTTGTTTCATTTATGGAACACACATACCAAGTACACCAAGCAGAATGTCTTCTTAAAACATCCATTTGAGGCTACTGCCTTTGCAAGTTATATATATTTGATTTACTTTTTTCTGATAAGTAACACATCCCCTAATTTTTGGAGAAAATTAGGAAAAATATACAAAAGAGTTTAAAAAAAATTAAGTCATCCCTAAATCTACCACCTAGCAATAATCACTGGTAATGTTCTGATGTTAATGTCTTCCTTTCTATTTCCTCTATGTAAATGTAACCAGGATCGTGTGTATGCTTTTATTTTCTACTTTAAACTAGCTCACTGAAAGAGTTAAATAAATACTGCAAATAATTTGTATCTAACACTTCTTTCACTTATTTTGTCATAACAATTTTCTTTCTTTTTGGTAGAGTTAGAGTTTGAACTCAGGGCCTCACGCTTGCTAGGCAGAGCATTCTACCACTTGAAGCACTCCACTAGCCCTTTTTTTGTGTTGGGTGTTTTCTGAGATAGTGTCTCTATCTCAAAAACTATTTGCCTAGGCTGGCCTCAAACTGCAATCCACTTGATCTCTGCCTCCCAAGAAGCTAGTATTATAGGTGTTTAACAATTTTCTTCATACTAGAAAACTGGGAATATGTAATTGTACTGTTAAAAAATATCTAACAATTCCACTTCTATGAATTTATTTAAGGAAATAATTAGGGTCTTAATAAAGCTTTGTGTGTATATAGACCATTCACCATGATTTTGCCGGTTGTTTCTAAAGGAGAATAGTTTAATAAATCGGGCTATACATCTAGTTGGTACGTTACATTCTAGTCATTAACATAATACCAAATAACTTACTATTATGAGGAAAATTGTTAAGCTGGGCATCAGTGGCTGATACCTGTCATCTTTTGTCATTTTTATAATAGCCAACCGGGTGTAAGATGGCATCTCACTGTGACTTTGATTTACGTTTTACCTGATGATTATTGATGCTGAACATCTTTTCATATACTTATAGTCCATTTATATATCTTCTTTGGAAAATTTTCTATTCAGGTCTTTTGTTCATTTTTAAATCAAGTTATTTATTTTCCTGCTATTGAGCTGAGTTCCTTATATATTTTGGATACAAACCCCTCATCAGATGTATGGTTTTCTCCCATTCTGTAGGCTTTCTTTTTACACTATTGACTGTTCCTGTTTAGTTTAGTTTTTATAAAATCCATTTGCCTATTTTGGGTTTTTCTATCTGTGCTTTTTGTATCACATAAAAAAAAAAATTCATTGCCAAGACCAGTGTCAAGGTTTTTGTTCATGTTTTCACCTAGGAGTTTTATGGTATCAAGTCAAATTCTTTATTCCATTTTAAGTTAATCTTTGTGTATACACACCACACACACACACACACACACACACACACACACACACACGTTATAGGATAAATTCAATTCTTTGGAGTATGGACATCTATTTTTTTTTCCAACATTACTTATTAAACAGACTGTCCTTTCCCCCTTGTGTATTCTTGGCATCCTGATAAAGATTGAGATTAGTTGACCATATGTGCATGGGTTTATTTCTCTATTCTGTTCCACTGGTCTATGTGTCTGGTTTTATATCAGTAAGTACCACACCATTTTGATTACTATAGCTTTGTAATACAAGCTCATTTTATTGTTACAGTCACAAATACCAAACCATAAAGTGCTGGAAAACAGAATGAATGAGAAGTTGTCCTAATAAAAACTGGCCCCAAACTGCTATTCAATGTTGGTAGGACATCTGACAATAAGGTTCACTAACCTAAACCTGGCTGTTCAACATTCATATACACAAGTTGAGGTATTTCCTTCAAAATATAAGTATATTCTTTCTTTCTCTCTCTCTCTTTTTTTTGAAGTTTTAGCAAGGATTTATTTTAGTGTAACAGGATAAAGTATGGACAAGGTGGGACATATGGAAGAGAGAGAGAGAGAGAGAGAGAGAGAGAGAGAGAGAGAGAGAGAGACAGAGAAAGAGAGAGAGAGAGACAGAGAAAGAGAGAGAGAGAGAGAGAAACATTTCTTGTTCCCCACATAGGAAACGGGAGCAAAGACTCCACGAGGTATTTTCTTCAAAATACACCACAAAAGACTAGCAATGATTCTGGTTCAGGAAGAAATAAACTCAGAAAAATTGCATACAACTTATGACATTATTCAATTACATGTTTTTATATTTTGCAATACTGGGCCCTTTCATTAGGTAAAAGTAATCTGACTTAGAAATCTTTCTTCTAAGTGTTTTATGTGATCCCTCAGCTAGTATATGATTTATCAATATCACTGTTAGGAATTCTTAACACAGGATGATGAGTAAAGAATAAATGGAAATGGGATTTTATTGTATCATTTATTTTTGGTTATGCTTGAAATTTTCTATTATATAAAACTAACATAAACACAGTGAAGAAAAGGGAAGGAAAGTAAACCCACCACTTTAGAATTCTCTTTGTACCGAAAAGCCAACTGATAAGCTGCAAATACCAAAGGCGGCAGTGTGAAGCGAATCCGTTGATTTCCACCAGCTCCAAAATGTTTTCGTGCTGTGTTTAAAATCTGACAAAAAAAACTTTTTAAAAATCTTTTCCACACTAAAATTAATTTATGAAATTAAATAGGAATTCTAGTCATAATCATTACTACTACTTCATGAATATATACAGTGTACCAGACTCTATATGGTGGTAAGTACTTTACATATTTCTTGTCTGAGTTGTCACAATTGCCTGTTTCACCCCATTTCACAGAAGTGAAAGTTAGAAGCAGGGATATATTTTAATACACACATGTACAAACTAGATACTGTGTTGACAAAGAACACAGGTTCTCAATGTACTCTTACCCAGCACAACAATTAAAAAAAAAAGAACGCATGGGTTCTAGGGCTG